TGTGTGTGTGTGTGTGTGTGTGTGTGTGTGTGTGTGTGTGTGTGTGTATTGCAGCAGGGTAATCACAGAGGATTACAAGGTCCCCGACAGGATGGTTGGCTTCAGTGAGTATGACCTCCGACCTCTCACTGCTTCCTGCTGGTCGTCCAAACAGTCCAGCTGATCTGAAGTCTGGACCAACAGTTCATCTTCATTCTTTAGCATTTTAATCCCTTTTTTTGTTTAATCCAGAACCTGACATAGAACGTTCTACCCGTTCTAACACTCTTCACCTGTAACCTCACCTTGGACTGATTACCTGAGGAAGAACCTCCAGCCTGAGCTAAAGCTAGCCTAGAAACTTTAACCAGAGCTAAAATCTTTTCACTTAATATCTACAATAGAACCTAGAACCTCAGCTCTGTTTAACTCACCTTAGAACCTTGCACCTAAGCTAGAACATTTTTCCTCAACTGATCTAGAAAATGTTTACTTCAAGTGGAACATTTATATCTTCTCAGCTGACCTGAAACCTTAACTAGAACCTCTTATATTCTGACCTAGAACCTTTTCTCTTGACCTACATCCTTTAACCTTCTTTACCCGAAAGCCCCCAACGGGGGACTTTTTAGAAAAGTTTAGCGTACAGCGTGTCGTAGAATGCACTTTTCATAAACAAATATAATTAATTCTCCAGACACATTATATACCCAATTAACGAAAAAAGTCTGGGCAACATCATCATAACAGCCATTTTAAACACTGCAAACATAATTGTACACAAACTAATATCATATCTAGAAGATTTACAACAATATCATGTATTTTTCGCCCAAAATCGGCCAACTATGTTCTCCGTTTGCATCTCCCATCACAAAGCTGGCAGCGATCATGGCGGATTGATACATGCGGAAGGATTAGGATTCCACCCCGCGTCGATTCACGCTCGCCAAATCTCACTCAAAAGTTACATAAACAAAGCCAACGAAACACTCTACCACTCCACATCAAATAAATTGAAACGCAGCGTACCTTTTGGTGATTTTCATGCCGAAAAACGCAGGTAATCCATTGAAATCTGCGCCAGCGCTGTAGTCCGTCTCCCCCTCCGTGTGTGTGTGAAGTGAAATGCAGGGCCTGGGAGCTTCTATGTGGAAATGGTCAGCATTCCCTTCCTGGACCAATGGTTTTACTCGTGGGGGTTGTGCCAAGCAGATCGAGATTTTGAGTGGCTAAAAACTCTGTCAATCTACTAAATAACCCCACTACTGCTTTCGTGAGTCTCTTACGCACTGAACAAGGTGTCACATGATGAAATCCGCCAATCACAGGCCTTACAAAGACTTAAAGAGACACAGACAGAGAGCAGAAAATTCCATGGAGACATATGAGAGCTCAAAATGATGCCAAACTGCTTTATTAGGATTATTGAACACTCTTAGTGATAAGAAGAGTTAATATATAGTTATATAGTATATAAAATTAGAATAGAGCAGCGCAACAGCTGGTTCCAAAAATGAGAATTTGGCTTGACTCAGACCTCATTTATGCTGGCCTGCTTCACTCAATCGAAGTAAAATTTATTGTGGAGACTGTAAACATGTTGTGCTATGACTGTGGCATATTTTTAGGCTTCGATCTGCATTATATCAAATAAATATTTTCAATAAAGGTGCTTTTTTTTTTCAGGCGAACCTGAAACTTTTCAATTTGAGCTGTGTACCATCTTCATTCACTATTAACCAGTAACATATACACAATATGTACACATCTGAGCCAGTGTCTCACAAGTTTTACCTGTATTATACCATCACAATGATTCAAATAGACCTTGTAGTTGGAGATCTGCACACTCTTTAGTATGGGTATGCAATTTTCGAGCAGAGGCCTATAAATAGGGCTAGGGCCCAAAGCTAAACCAGAACCCTTTTCACCTAAATCTGAATTGTTTTCACCGTACCTGGAACCTTCCATCTGACTCTCAAAGTTGAAGCATACATAGAACCCTCTACTTTACTTGGAACCTTTTTTACTTGAGGTAGAAGCTTTCACACCACTTCCAATTCAGCCAGAACCTTAAAATGAGAACTTTTTCAGAAGAGATCAAATCTTCCTCTTACAACTTTTTCACATGACCTTGACTACTTTAACTGAGCTAGAACCTTCTACTTGACTTTTCATCTTATCTAGAATCACTTTGTACCTGAACTAGAACATTTTCCTCTGAGCTACAAAACCTACTATCTTTATACCGACTAAAAGCCTTCCTACAAACCTAGAACCTGTTCCTCTAAACTAGAATCTTTCAGCTGATCGTATACATGACCTAGGCTTTAACCTGAACCAGAACCTTTTTATCCTGACCTAAAACCTTTAAACCAACCATAGACCTTTTAAGCATACCTATATCTTTTACTTGAGCTAGAACTTTTCATCTGACCCTAAACACTTCCAGTTTAGCTAGAACCTTTATCCTGACCCAGAACCTTTATCCTGACCTGATAATGAGATGTTGATCCGTCGACATAACGTTTCTTTGCTCTCGTCCTCCAGTCATTGGAAGAGGAGGTGAGCAGATCACCAGGATCCAGTTGGAGTCTGGCTGCAAGATCCAGATTGCTGCTGGTGAGTCTGATTTATCAACGTACTTCTCCAAAGTTCTCTTTGTAGAGGTTAATTATTCAGATTAAGCATTGATGACACTTCTGCTCCTCGAATCTTCACAAACAGCCGGTTCATCTAAAGTATTGTTTCTGCTTCTCTCTGATTGGTCACTTGTTTAAAAACTCTTACGGCCTTTACAAACCGGAGGAGTGACGAATGCACAACACGAAAATATGTGAATATGTTGCATCAAAATACCTTTTTAGTTAAATTCCCGCCCGAGTAAACACGTACAGTGTTTATGTCTGGGGCTTTTATTGTGAAAGGTAAGAGCTGATCTAGAAGCCCCCCTGTTGTTGCACACTGTCATGTATGTTTTTAATATGTCCAACAAACAAGATCAACAATTTAACAAATGAATCTCAAGAAAAAAGCCTCCGTGTGTGAAGGCCTTTAGGAGTAGTTCAAGTTTAAATATCATTTAACCGACCAGCTGTTTGTGTTTGAGAGAGACAACAGGCAGCATGGGAACGTGTTGATGTGTGTGTGTGTGTGTGTGTGTGTGTGTGTGTGTGTGCGTGTGTGCGTGTGTGCGTGTGTGTGTGTGTGTGTGCGCGCGCTCAGACAGCGGAGGTCTGATGGAGCGGCCATGTTCCCTGACTGGAACTCCAGAGAGCATCGAGTGAGTTTCTAAACATCCACCTTCACCTCCTCTAATAACATCACCTGCTCACCTCCACCTGCTGCTCACCTCCTCTGTCTGTCTGTCTGTCTCCAGGCAGGCCAAGCGTCTGCTGATCCAGATTGTGGATCGCTGCAGAAACGGTCCGGGTTTCCACGGCGAAGGTGAAGGCGGAGCCTCCGTGCAGGAGATGCTGATCCCAGCCAGTAAGGTGGGGCTGGTGATTGGAAGAGGAGGAGACACCATCAAACAGCTACAGGTAAAAAAAAATGATTGGCTGTTGTGTCACTCCACAAACACTTGGTGTTTGTGGAGTGTTTTAAACGTCTCTGACTGCATGCTGTTGTTGTTGTTGTTGTTGTTGTCGTTGTGCATCAGGAGCGAGCGGGCGTGAAGATGATGATGATCCAGGACGGTCCGATGCCGACAGGAGCCGACAAACCTCTCCGCATCTCTGGAGACCCGTACAAAGTGCAGGTAAAAAACACACAAGAACAAATGGTACAAACATAAACAGTTTGAGATGTTGGATGAAGAGATACGGGCTCCTACTGTGGTCCAGGTACACGTATCTCTTAACAAAAACTGTACCAGCTGCTAACGCTAACCTCTGAGCTACAAAACCTACACTCTTTATACCGACTGAAAGCCTTCCTACACACCTAGAACCTTTAATCTGAGCTGGAACCGTTTTATCCTGACCTAGA